TTATGTAATTGGGTCAAGATCGATAATTGCACCATAATATTATTTTTTGCCGCATTTTAACTAGCTAGGACAAGAACAATGAGTCCTCATGTTTGCTATTTTTTCACTTGAGGGTAATGAATTGTTATCTTAGTAAATTGATCACTCACAAAACATCAATTTTCAATTAAAAAAAATTGACCCTCTACTATTAAAACCAAAAAGACAATAAATGATATTAAAATTAAATAAACCATATACGTTTACTCATAAAAATTGAAAGTTGTAATTTTAATATGTATGCAGTTTTATAAATTGTTCAACATAATAATAAGAAAATCATATATATATCAACAAATAATACATACAATTAAGATCGCAACTGTAATGTGATGATATATTTGTCTTTTAATTCGTAAATGTTAAATAACTCACATTTTCAAAAATTGCATTGATTTGTATTGGATTTATTTGACAACAAACAACTCTCTCTAAATAATAAAATTTATAAGCTAATTTATTAAATAATTTTACGAGTACAAATATAAAAGAAAAATCAAGAAAATAAATAAAATTATTGTCACAACACAAAGTATCCCTAGGTACGACATGGCGAATAAGACCCCAAAAGGCCTTAAACAAACCACTTGACCTAAGTATGACATAATAAAAGACAATCCAAGAGATATAATCAATATAAGTCGTGAATCTGCTAATTACATAAAAGATATCAAGCATAGTACATAAGGGAATACGCGAAACGTTGTCTATGTCTGACAAGTCCTCTACTAATCATAATGTGACTAAAACATCGAACCCCTACGTCACTAATAATATCTGAAAACTGAAAAAGATTAGAAATGATAAAGCTAGTGATGTTCTCGCCCTCGAACTATGAAGAGTCACCAATCAATAGTAGCAGATTGATAACGCTCAAATCACTATCCAAAACCAATTAAAAGAGCGAGTGATCGTAGTCAGTAAAACTCAACGAAGAGTCGGGGTCGAATCCCACATGGAATAATATATCGTAGAGAATTCCTTATCAAGAAATTTGGAGTTTAATTTAGTTCATTTGTAATAGTAAGAACAATTGGGTGGATGACAACCAACTTAATATAAAGCTTAGGTTATCAATTATCGCAATTGCTCTAAAATAGATGAATTCAAGAGTTAACAAGCAATCTAGGGATGCAGGGATTGGAAATCGATGTCACATAGGGGTGATTGTGTTGCTCTATAGTGATGAAAATTCATGAATAGGCTAAGTCATCTTCATTGACGCTAATTATCTTCGATCTCAAAGCATCTATGCATAGAAACTCCTTTTGGTCTCATCTAAATGTCAATCTAAACAACTCAATATACTCTATTCTCTCTTTCAAAAACAAGGCAAATAGATCCAACCCATAACCTCTTTGTCAAGCAAGTTACAGACATCAAACCTAAATTGCTAGTATTGAACTAATTACCCACTCCAATCAATCTCTTTTGAGCATCAACCAGAGCTCAGAAGTAGAAATTAAGTTTGCAGTCTTAACCTTTAAGTTAACCCTATGATAATTAGACCAAATTCTTGTATGAACAGCAACAAAACAGAGCATAACACAATACTCAATATATTAAATCAACACCCAACTCCATTTGAGTACTCTTAAATCTTGAGGTTTTAGCCACCCATCACAAAAAGTAAAGAATTTATACCTTTCATGAAAGCAGTCATGGGTAACTTGAAATCAAGCAATTAAGAGTAAACTCACTTTGGATTCAACTTCAATTTATCAAAATTAAACACCAAGTTGTAAAACCTCCAAAACTAGAAAAGTGTTCTTTAAGGTAAAATGTTCTCAAACTCTCAACTTTATTCTCCAAAGAGAACTTTTCGAACTCAAAACGGAACTCTCTAAAATATGTATTCTTTGGGCTATTTATACTTTTTCAAAATACCAAAAATTCACTTTGCGACTGACTTGGCGACATTAGTCGAGCTCTCCTAGTTTGCTCGGCAAATCGCCCTTCTATCTTCAGCTAGCCTTGTGATGCTCCAGGCTTTAGGTGTTTGAACCTCAGTTGGTGAACTCGATTGAGTCGCCCTTTCATGTTCGGCGAATCACTGAATACCACCTTGGTTCGCCCACAAAGTGAACCAAATAAAAGAAAGGCAAAATTATTTACTAGAACACCATTGCAATTTCCAACAAAAATAAAGCGAATATGTAATAGGTATGAAATGATTTACCTTCTTGCCCACAAAGCCAAACTCTTGTACACAACTTCGACTCCGCATTTGCAGGTAAAACAGAACTCGTAAATTTTTCAATAGTACAACCTCCAATGCTAAAGGAAGATTCAGACACTAGTATGGTAATAGGTATGCTCAAGACGTCTCTTGCCATCAATGAGAGTTCGGGATACCTTAGTCTATTTTTCTTTTTAATAGGCAATCTAAATCTGAGTTTACTTTATGGTCAAGATTAGGATCCTCCAAGTATAAATCTAGTTGTGTTTTATTTTTACCACACCCTGATTGATTATCAAACATATCAAACTCCTCAAGTTCATCCCTCATTTCATTACTAGTGTCCCCCAACAAAGAAATTGAGGTTGAAGGTACATAATATTCTTTGAATAACAAATGTAAATGATCTCTAATGACTTTTATCTTTACTTAAATAATCTCAAGATCAATTTTAGAGAACATAAATTTCACAAATTTAAGTTTACAGTGAGGGTCGAAAACAATGGCTAGTAATCAGATCTAAGACTTTCAATATTTTTTTAACTTCGTTAACATTGATGTAGCCATCTCACTCATAACTAGATAATAAATATTTTTTTCTTCCTCTAATAACTTCTGAATTTCCCACACGTTATGTAGATACAAATTAGCAATTTGATATTTGCTTCCAGAGAACAATGTAGTAATGTTATAAAATGGCTTCAAAAATTGAGCAATCATCTCTACCCTTTTCCATTCCACCTAAAAAAGATTGTGCTTAAAATCAGTATCAATCAATTCATATTGAATATAATCTTGTTGGTAGAGAATCGCACTTTCAAGAATCAATTAAGTGGAATTCCATCGAATTGCCATGTCTTGGCGAAACTTTATTGCACACGGCAACAAAATTCTTCCACAAACTTTTGATACATTCCACAAACTTTTAAATTCTTCCTTCCGAATTTTTAATATGCTTAACATCTTCTCTGATCTTTACAATAGCCTCATTGGCTATCTCTAAATCCACCTTTACAATTAAATTCAAGATATGATTTCCCCAACAAAACATGAAAGAACTTTCCATCACAAACTAGTTCATACATCAAAGATAAGTGGTCTTTTAAATTAGTTACCAGTTATCCAAAGTAAGAGTGAACTTTTTTTCAATACCCCATTACTTAATGAACTCAATTAGTAAAGGACCCAAAACTGCACCAGAATGCGGAGGGGGCACATGGCGAAAAATCAACACTCTTTTTTGAAGAATCCAATTTGACGCTAAAGAAGTCCACATGTCTGAAGTCAAACATACTCTACTAGGAATCACTGCAAGCTCATTCTTTAGATATTATACATCTTTAAAATAACAAACTTGGCAGTATTTCTTGAAACAGGTTTCACAGTTGGATTTAAGTACAAAAGGATATCTGTATTTCCTTGATGTTCGGCAAAGCTGAAAGGATAATTATAAGGATAATTATGCTTCAAAGTAGCCACATATACTTTTTCAAGATAAATTGCTTGATCACTTGGCGCAACCCTTTTCTCTTGTGTTTTATCTAAGTGTAAACTGATATGGCATTTCAAATTTGAAGTTCCAGAAATAGAGTCTACTAGAAAAATCTTCTTATAGACATTACATTGAGCTTTTAACATTTCATTACTTGTTGCACGAGGCAATTTCTTAAACTTTTCCAAACATCAGAAGTATTCTTTTTTACTCGTTTTGTAGGGACCGACGATCTAATCTCACAAGATTCATCATAGACGTCCTCATTAACCTCTGTAGACATCTTTTCCTAAAATAGAAAATAATTTTTTTATGTATAAAAGACAAACCATAAAAAGGAGCCAAAAACATGAAATCTAAGATTCTATAAAAATCCAAACTGTATGTAACATATATTTACATTGTTATAAAGAAGGATTCCTCTACCACAAAAAAAATTCTGAAATCAGGAAAAAGAATTCCTCTACCACAAAAAATTCTTGAAATCAGGAAAAAGATTTCAGAGGAGTTAATAAAAAACCTTAGCTCTAAAATTTCAAACAAAGAAAAAAGGGAAGATGAGGAAGAAGGTTTCAAGCGGAAAGTTGAGACTTACCCGCAAGTCTTCGTGGTCGTGGTCGTGGTTCATGGAAGAAACTATGAAGTTTGATGCTGAAAAATGCTTCTAAGAGCTTGGGAGAAAAGTTCGTTAGTTTTCACTATAACCCAAACTTAAATTTTATTCATAATTTACCCATTAAATTACCCATATTTTAATGGGTTAAATATGGGCATAAGCCCAAATATTACCCATATTTAATGTGCGGGTTTGCAAAAATTGGGGCTGAATTGCCGGCACTAATTACCACCATGACTTGAAGAACTGTCTGAAGAAGAGTTATAACAAGGTAAAGGAACAGAACGGACCCGATCCGGCTAACATCATCTAGTAAGAGGTTAAGTACCTCTTGTAATGTTTTCCCTGGAAGATCAGATGCACTTTTCTCCCCACCTATCTGCAGAATCCCCAGGGTAAGTTGCCAAGGCACATTAACTGTTGCAATAGTAGTGGGTGAACGTAATAGTGATCTTTTGTGGTTACTAGGTACAACTTTCCTTTGTTGTGAATTGTGAAGTTTCCTTGGTGTGTGACGGTGAAGATGAAACTTATGTTTTGTTGTATCGATGGGGATGAAACTAGGTTTGGTCTTGTAGTGGTTGAGATCAAGTCTTTTGCGAGATGAAACAACATTACTTGCATCTTTTTGTTCGGCTGTAATTGTCCCCTTTTCTATTTACAATCCAAAACTTAAGAAAATGCATAGTACGTAGTACTAAATAACATGGTGGAAATGAAAGTCTGCCACTGAAAGAATCAGTCAACAATATCACTATTACATATTCTAACATGGTTTACTTCTTAACATGCTAGCTCATTATATTTTGATGAATGACAGTTAAAAAAAATAAACCAGGTGACTGATTAATCACATTAGACATAAATAGGTGAGTCTGTCAAGTCTATTATTTCAGGACAACTAGCCGAAAGTCTTCTTCTTTTGTGGTCTGCACGCACTTTGGAGCATGGAGGAGTAAAAACATCAATAACCTCAATGTCACTAGGCAAACCAGCATTCTTGGTTGCCAATGAATCATCCGTTTTTGTTGAACACATCTTGTTGGCCTGCTTCTCACCAAATTCATCATCCAATTCATGTCTCTCTTTCTTGTCTGCTATATGAAAGAAATCACCTAAAATTGAAGATGACCTTTCTACTGGCGAGTCGATGATAATATATGAGTGCTCTCTACCGCAAGTGCTATTTTCTCCAGCACGCTCGTCAAGCTCTTTCCAATCAGTGTGTTCATCGTCATTTTCATCGGTGCTGTCTTTGTCTTGATTACTAAAAGAACTGTTAGAATTTGTGGAGCCGGCAGATATTTCGTTTGTTAATTCTTCACTATAATCCCATTCGTTGGTTGAATACTCATCCCTGTCAATTCCTGTATAACAGGGAAGTTCATCCAGTGCACAAATATGGACTCTCATGTGCTCTGGAAGACTAGGACAACCAGCTGAATGCATCTTGTATTTTGTGGAGAAGAAATTTACTGTGAGATTTAGGCTGAACATAGAAGACAAAACTTAATGAGACTCCAGGAGAACAAAATTCAATCAGACTCATCGGTTCACCTCAGACAAAACAAATTATATACCTTTGCCACTCAGGGAGAGTAAGCATTGTATATGCCAATTTAATCTTGTTAGCAACTCCTCCAAGAGTTTTGAATGATGCTGCTGCCTGTCTAACTGCACGGGATTCTACTGGATGCTGCCAGGCCCATTCAAACTGCAATAAAGAGAAGAAAAAATTGATATCTTAAAATAGTGAAGCAAATTCAGGTTTCAGATTAGCAAACATCAACTGGCACAAACGAAGTGAATATGCATAATTGTGAAATAAAGTGGAAATTTGACATGAAAATTAAGGCAACAATTAGCAGTGCATTAAGAGACTCTTGAGTCTATTCAGCGTCAGTGACCAGAGGTAACCCAACCAAAATTTATGGTAACAAAAACAGTTTATGGCATTTGGATTGGTTTCTCGAGAACAACGTGCACGCTTGGATTTTGATCAGGAGAATTGGTTTAAAGGGAATGTTTGGATTTAGGTTTGGTTGAAAAATACAAATACCCTCTGCTTTGAGTTTATTTGGAAATTGTATTTAGTAGATTTTGTAAAAGAAGATAAATGTAGATTACCTGGAGGGCTGATACATTGGTAGGGAAGCCATATATGCATAAAATCATCTCCCAGGGACGCTTCCTCTTGGTCCTCAATGCACCCATCCTTACCTCTCCATTGTGCTGTCGAATTCTACGGCGAGGATTCACTGTAAATCTGCCCAAACAATTAATTGATTACCGAAGCCAAAACCAATACATATATTATTTTGTCTGTTTCAATCACAATAACTGGATCCGTTCAATTCGAGAGGAAAAGGAAAAACAATGAGTAGAAATTATACTAATAAAAAAAGTGGCAGGGGAAAGAAATCTAACTAGCTTCAGTTACCTCTATCTATTAAGGAAAAACAAATAGAAAGAAAAGTTCCCCCATCGGAACCCTAAATTGGAGAGGAAACGAACCCGATGTAAGTGTGGCCTTTGAATCTGGGGCACATAGATGTAAGCAAGTAGCAGGCAAAGAACCTGTTTCCTTCTACTTCTTTACTCTCATCTCCTCCTTCTGAACAAACTTTCTTCTGCTCCCTCCTCTCCTTCCGTTTCCCCATCTCTCTCTCTCTCTCCCTTTCTCTCTCTCCTCTTTCTATCCAGCGAAGCATTTGGGGATAAATTCGACCGTTGCGATGCCAGGGTTTCAATTTCCCCTTTTCAACGGCCTTGTGGCCTTTCTCGATTCTATCCGCCACCCCATTTTGGTCAGCTGCTGTTCCTGTTTGAGGCCATGATAAAATGTCTGAAATATCCTTTATAGACTTTATTAAATTTATATTTATACTTTAAATTAAAATGAGATAAATATTTGAAACACATCTAAACAATTTCATTTTTTTTAGTTTCATACCTAAACTATTGAGAGTATAAGTTTTATACCTAAACTATCATTTTTTTAGTTCAGTGGTGCATGTAAAACACTCTCTATTATTTGAAAAAAACTTGACACATGACATTTCACATGGATAAAATATTTCACTTTGACAAAAATTAAATAACAAACTATTAGTATTAATTAAAAATTAAAGTTTAAAGTATTACCATCCAAATAATAATAATTTTTTAAAATATAAAATTAAAATTATTTTTCTTACCCCACCCCCTCATTGGACAATCCCCGTCCTTTATTTTTTAAAATTTCTTTTATAAAATATTTAAAAAAAATTCATACTTCACCCCTCCCCTCCCCCCCCCCCCCCCAAACCACCAACTCATTCCCAAAAAAATTGATATTATTTTATTTTTTTTTAAAAATAATTTTACCCCACCTTATCTAATCCTCCGCTCCTAATTTATTTTTAATTTTTTATATTTTTCTAGTTTTGCGTTAGATATGTACATAGATTTTTAAGAATTTTTTTCTACTTGTGTAACGGATATAACATAAATAAAAAAATTATTTTAAAAAAAGTCTTACGGAGAACAAATAATTATTTTCCTAAAAAGGTATGTATATATCTAACACAAAAAGAGAAAATAAATTGGAAACAGAGGGATAGATGGAGTGGGGTAGAATTATTCTTTTTAAGAAAATAAATAATATCTAAATTATTATTTGAAGAGGGGGGGGGGGGGGGGGGATGAAGTAAAAAAAATTAAATACTTTTAAAAAGAAATTTAAACAAAAAAACTAAAAAATAGGGTGAGGTAGATGGCAGGCACAATTCTTACTAGTTCTCCGCATCTATCGGTTGAGTAGCCCAAGCTTCTTAAAGCGTATTGTCCCCTCTCCTGTGAAAGAAAGAGGTTGCGGTGAAGAGGAAATGATGGAGTGAGGTAAGGATTTACATTTTATTTTTTTTAAAAATATTTTTTGGGATAATAATTCTTTATTTTTTAATTTTAATTAATAATAATAATATATTTAATTTTGTGAAGGTGGAATGTTTTGTCCATGTGGAGTGTGATTGACAATTATTTTTTTTAGGGAAAATACATAAAAAAAAAAAACCTGAACTTGGTCGGATAACTTACTTTAGTACTTAAACTACACGGGCGTTTAAATACCCCCCTTAAGATCTTTGAAGTGGTTTTTTCCACCTTGAGACTATAACACCACTCTCACCCACCACATCATAGCCACGTAAGTGTCACATCATAACCATGTAGGCACCATGTCATTAATCTTTATTTCTTTTTTACTTATTCACTATTTTTTCTTAAACACTTTTTAAAATTAATTTATAAATGCATACCCCCACCTCCTCTCTTTCTTCTTCCTTGTTGTTCACCATTATTCCAACCTTCAATACTTTCTTTTCTTCTTCTTCTTCACTATTCAACATTTTTTTAAGTCACTTTAAAGAAGAAATTCACATTATCTTCTTCGAACCCTCCCAACGAATTTACTCTCTTGGAGAATGGATTTTTTTGAAAGCCAATTTTTTCTTGACAAATTAAATAAGAAATGAAGATTGCATAAGAAAGTTGATCCAAAAAAAATATAAATTTTATGAGAAATGTTTGAATGATCTAGAAATCAAAATGGGTTGCTCAAAATTTAAGAAAGTTTACATTTGCCAAATCGATATAAATAATAGAGTGAAATCGACGTCAATAAAATGACATTGCTATTGAATTTTACGGATTAGTAAAAGATTAGTGAAATGAAAATAGTGTATAGAGGTGGGGAAGAAGATGGAGGAAGAGATGTTTCAATGGAGAAAAATGTGTATTGAAGAAGACAACAAAATAAAAATAAATTTTTTTAAAGAAAATAAAAAGGGGACCCACTAATTTCAAGAAAATTTACATATTTTAAAGATTTAATATATATATAAAAAAAACTAGTTAAATAATTTGTTATATATTGGCCAATAAAAAAAGGCCATTTGTAGGGCTTTAAAAATTCAGTTTTTTTCTCTTTTTTCACGCACTTTCAGGAGAGTGCACTCACTCTCTCTGCCACATCATCCCTTAGGAAGTGTTTTAATCACTTAAAAGATGTTAAGGAGGGTATATAAACACCCGTGTAGTTTAAGTACTAAAGTAAGTTTCCGTGCCAAGTTCAGGGGGGATTTTATGTCTTTTTCCTTTTTTTTAAAAGTAAAACAGATAGTGTAGTACACACACCATGAAGAAAGTGTAATAAAAGAGAGAGGTGTGTTTCTCAAACTAATAAGTGATAGTTTATGAATGAAACTCATACTCTCAATAGTTTAGGTATGAAACTAAAAAAAAAAGATAGTTTAGATGTATTTTTGACATTTATCTCAATTAAAATAAAAGGTAAGGATGTATGTGTCTCCATTGAAAACAACTTCTTTCAATTATTAATAACCTTAAAAGATACTTTCTATTTTACTAACAAAACTTAAATACACCCTCAATCTATCACATGACATAACAATGCTCTCAATTTTTTGTAAAAGTGTGGGACTTTCACAACCCAGGGGTGCCCCTAGATGTAACATGGCGTACAAGACCTCGAAAGGCCTCATACAAGCCACTTAGCATTCATAACATAAGAAATAAAACATAAGAAGTAAAACAACATTTCAAGTCCAAAAGTTTTTATAAAAGAAAGTGGAAGTCTAAAACACTTGTCTCATTAGCCATCTAATACAATAAAATGAAATTAGGCTTAGCCCATACATCATGTCAAAAACTGAAATACAAGAAAGGAACTAAATAATAAAAGTCCGTCCTCGAAGCATGAGGACTCACCAAGATAGAAAATATCGAAATCAACCACTAGCCACTAAACTGAGAAACCTGACTATCGGACCCTACATTTGGGGAAATGTAGGCAAGATTATGTGTTAGTACAAAACAATGTACCAAGTATGATAGTTATGCAAACATTTCATGACATGCAATTGACCAAGCTAAAACATGATATAAGAAGGTTAGAAAACATAAGTCATAAAACAATGGTCAATGCAAGATAACATATTTAGAATATATCTTTGAACACATATGAGATACTTCTTGAAGTAACCTTAGTTCATTATTAATGTGGGAATTAGACTTAACCGACATAGAGACCATGTGAGCTATAACATGATCCCCGATGTCTCCCATACTGAAAAAGGTTGTCATACGTGTTAAGGTAAGGACCATGAATTTTAGCTTAAGTGGACCACTAGCTAATGTCTATCTAGACAATCATCCTATGTGGGCACATAGGTAAGGGATAATGAGATTGCTTCTAGAAACCTGACCTCTACTAACGGGAGAGCCTCCATCTCAATATCCTCTCGATGCTAAGCATAAATCCCACGGAATAGTCATTTCTTACTTGTTTTTATTATCCATGGAAGGGCACGTCATTTTGCCAATCCAAGCTAAGTCATAAGACATCCATGGAAAGGTACAATGAAGTATCCAATTCAAGCTAGGCTTCATTAGGATAACTCCTTATCTTTGATTCAATTAGGTGAGAAAACATTTCAACCTTAGAATCCATACTTTATGTGAGAAAACCTATCACGATCATACTTTCATGTGTTTATGAGAAAATCCTTTCAATAACACATCATTAACATTATCATTGATATTTTACTCTCAAAGCATCCTTAAAACATTTTCATATATTTCATAAGAACATGCATAATTCCATAATTCACCTTTCAAAGCTCAATACCCACTTTCAATCATCAACATTTAGAAAAAAACATGGGTTAGATATGAATTTCATCATAAAATCATGTAAATCTATCAATACATGCTTAATTTCATAAAACTCTTTCTTCATAATCAAAATACCACATCATATGATCATAACTTGAAAAACATGGGGATTACATGGGTTCACGGGAAAATCATCATAAAATCATTCTATTTTAGCAATTCATGCATAAGAGATCATAATTCAATCATTTAAATCAATAATCAAGAGAACCTATGACAGTTGAAGAAAATCCTAACTCAATTGGGGAATTCTAACTTTGAAAATAGGACAATTTAGGGACTCCGTGAATGGAAGGAATCCATGGAGGAAAACTATCATACCTTGAAGCCAATTGCTAATCTTCAATGAAGGAATTGAGACTTGACTTGAAACCCTAGGTTGAATCCTTCTTCTTCTTCAAGTTATAGAGAGAAAAATATTTGAGACAGTTCTTCTTTTTGGTGAATTGAGGGAATGATTTCTATTGGGAAATTTGCTGGTAAAAAGACTTATATATGGGTCTTAGACATAGGCAAAACGATATAATATTAGGTTAGATTAATTAGAAAAAGACTCAATTACCCTTAAAAATAATTGTCAACCTACCATTCACGGACCACTGACGACGGACCGTTGCCAGGATGACGGGCCGTCTTGCACGACCGTCGTTCGTGGTCAGGAACATGTTTTTAGGCCACTGAACCATGGCCACTAACCACGGATCGTGGTCTGACCAACGGTCCGTTAGTTAGGTCGTGGTTTCATGGCTTCTGAAGGTTTTGGGGTGCCTAGTCCACATACCACACCCATGGTCCGTGGTTGGCCTTCGTGGCTGGCATTTGCAACTTCTTGAAATTATCCATGCTACCCTCTTTTGGGTCCGGGATGTTACAATATCTCCCCCTTGGGATCATTCGTTCTCGAATGAGATTCTACGCATCACTTAGAGGAAATGACTCTAAATTAGCAACCCATCATGCATGCAACTTCATCAAAATGCACACAACCAAGGAAGAATATCGACTCCAAGCTAAAACATACTTTAAACATCATAAGGAGGA